ATTTTACATCTGCTTGTCCGCTCTGCTGTGTGCTTGATGTTCAGTATATGGCCTTTTAAAGCCAATGCATCTAATCAGTCTCAGTGAAATGATGCACTGTGTCAGTTGTGTGTGACCTAGTGATACCGTTACTCTGCTTTATACTTTCCGCTCCTTTAAATTCACCGAGCATAGAAGCTGGATTAGGGAGATTCCTAAACACAGCGTAACATTCCCGACTATTAGGTGAGTCACATTCTTCAAAGCATCTAACCTGTGACAGTTACCACCTCATTGACTTCAACTGAGAATTAAAGAGGCACACTTTTAGGTCTTTATCGATACCACTACGTCCACCACATCCTTCTACTCCAGGTCTTGATCTGACTGCCATGCATACACATGTTTAATTTTTTCCCCTTTACTTTCGATGAGCAGCAGCGCACAAACGAGGACTTCATACGCACAGACACAGTGAACAAACTCACGTTAGATGTTGACAAGACAATCATATTTTATGTGAATACACAAATGATAAGCCAAGCTGTAAGCTCTCTGTTAGTTGATGCTTCCATGAAACATACATAAGCCGCGGGTATGTGCCCTTCAAGGGGTCACGTGTAAACCTGACAATTCACTAGGGAACGGAGGACATCCAGGATGCGGATAAACTATTTTCCACACTGATAAAAACGTGACAAATTAAACTGGAGACGAGTGTGTACTTCGTTTGGAGAGTCACCAGCTGTTTCATAACTCCTTCGTATGGTATTTTCGTAACTGAAGCCTATACGGGAGCGAGTAATCCAAGTTTTATGCCCCGGTATCGATAAGATAAATGAATCTATTCGGTGGGAAAAGTTTCTAATTCAAAGATCATCCGAGAATCTATGGTATCCGTTTTCGTCATAGCAGACTTATCGCTCCAAGAAACCACAATATTTTCGTTTACCAAACAAGGCATATTTTCACACGGAAACAGAAACAACAAGGAAGATTCCCAAATTGATTTAAGTCGTCGGCATACTTGCCTGCTGGAAAGGATATGTTATTAGTCGTTACAGCAATATCAAGGACATGCAGATTTATCACGGAACATGTACGCACAGCAGTGATACATATCTACCAATGAAGAAGTTCTTGATCACGTTATAGTTGACTGAATTAAATAAGAAAATCGGCTTGAGTCATCTTTTATTCCATTTCTATGCGTGCGAGACGAAAAAACCATAGATACCAGGATTATTACACTATCAGGAGGAAACCGACCACTATGATAATCAAACCCGGTGTGCGGAACCAAGTAATGCACGAATAAGTCAGCTTGGAAAGGAACTGCATATAGCCGTGTATATTAATGTGGCCACTGTCGAAAAGATTCAAACCTCGAACCTCGAACGTAACAGAGGCCGAATACACTCTACAAACGCTGGATTGGAAAAAATCCTGGCTAAGGGCAGTAAAAAGAAAAATGTGTGAGAACAAAACTCCGCAGGGTTTCCCTTTACTAATTGCCAAACGAGCTTTCATCATCCTTCGGGGACCCATTGAAGTTCTCATGGTAGGCTGCAGAAGCTTTGACAAAATTGCCACAGTTCTTTGTGATTCGTCTATTGCCTTCGATCGACCCAAGGACCTAATCGGATCAGAACCGCTGATATCTTCGAGGTAGTATTGGATACTGGAGGGGCCAATCAAAACGCCAAAAGTGATGTTGGGTGATCCCTCGAAAGGCATTACGTTGACTGTGACACATGTCAGAAGTATTTTTTGGACACTGGTCCGGAATGGTCAGCATGTCACGTAGTCAGTGAAGTTGGGTGTGGAGGACGTCTTATACAGCCTCAGTTGTGTTTACAAGACACGGGTACTTGAATACACTACTGATAATGGGCGTTACTGTGAACAACGATGTAACTGGAGTGAGAGTTTCTTACAGTCCGCTTCATTTTCTTTCCTGTCTAGAATTGCTTTTGTTTCATTGATTGTGTCTTCAATTAGATCGACCAGGACGAGAGCATCGAAGTGTCTAGTTGATGGTTGACAAAACAGAATGAAAAGGAATTCGGTTCTACGAGATATACAATTGAAGTTTTCCGTTCCTCACTTTTGATACTCCGGTTGGCAGTGAAGCATGCACACAGTCCGTTACACTCATTCATGTGGATAACAGTTGGAATAAAAAGCAAGTATTTAGCACCTACCAAGCATCCAAACAAACTGAAATATTAACTGGACTTAATAAATTTATTCTCCGAGACGCAAAACGAATTTAACGGGTCACTTCATAGCTAGATCTTTCTGATCATTAAACGCGAATCGCTTTTGGATTATTTATTAGTTAAGTTAGATTTCTGCACGGACCATTCGGAGAACTGATTTTCTGGATGATAACCCTAGTTCATTTTTCTCAGTTTAATCAAATCGCTTATCAGTTAGTAGTTAGATGTAGGTCAGTTTGAGCACTAAGAAAGTGGAATTGATTATGAGATAATTCGTCATGTACAGTCATTTATTTCTTGTTAGAAGTAGCAGCAACAATAGATCACATTCATCAGGCCTCAATTACGACTGGAAGATGCACTGAACAATCCAGAGTTGGACAGATTAATTCCAGACTATCTGAACTGACTTTCACATAGTTTCAGTGAAGACAACATGTCTCCTGCACTGCGACTGACTCATCTGATAGATACACGCAGCTGATGATTCCTATCACTCTGTGATTCCTTCTTCTAACCTCAAACATGTGCTCTGTCTTGCCTTGCTACCTCGTAGCATACTGTAATCGACAGCGAAACTGACGGAGGTGCAAGAAAAATGCAAACGATAAAGTAAGTCTCCATAGGGATTTGAGCAGCTGAAGGAACAACTGAACGCATCTACGCCACCGACTACGGAACCTAGAGATGTAACCTAATATATCTGACCATCCTGTGAGAGAATCTTTTGGAACCTATTGTGTTCGCATTTAAAAGTGGAACACATAACTATCGCACTCCATTAATTCATATGAACATAAGCACAAAACCCGACCTTAGCAGCTAAGCAAACAGGGGAGTGCGCAAGTAGTGTCACTGATCTGAGATGTGTACGCGCTAGCGCACGTTCGCCTCTAGTAAAACCAATCGATAATTAGTGGGATCGATCAGTTGTTAGGCAGTGCAGGGACTGAATTAAATGCCAGCAAAGGTATGCTCATGCTTGTGAAGAGTAGCAATCAACTGTCCGCGTAGTAGGCTTGCCTATTCAGAACGGATACAACAGACCACAACCCAGAATCCTGACATTTCCTACTCGGCCAATTCCACTGGACGTGGTTTACTCTTAGCCACGTACTCGCCAGGAGAAGTCAATGGTCAGAACGCAGATGGATAGAACGATTGCCGCTGTAAATGCCATCGGCTAAGATGGAGAATTCCCGAAACAATCAGTTTTGGCGGGATAATCAAGTCAGTGACCACAATCTCTCTTAAACGCAGGTTTTGAATCAGTAAGGGAAAATACTAATGGAATTCATCTCAGGCATCAGTGGGGGCATACTCAAATATGATGAACAAGAATAGTCGCTTCAGTCGCTTATTGTTGGCATACGCATATCCGGTCATTCAAAGTGCTCGCAAATGACTGCTGATCGGGATCCAGGTTAGCAGTACTTGCTCAGCTGTCGTGTTAAAAGCAATCCCAACACCAACATGACCATGGACAGCGGGTCATCTGGCTCGCGAATACTGAAGAGCGAGTCCGAGGTTTTATCTGAGTTTTGAAGTAGAGTCACAGAAGTGGATCTGGTGAGCGAGCTTCGGAGAAGCACCACACTTTTAGTCTTATATCTCGAGTTCTAGCTTGATTAACCTGTTTCTCTGTCTGACGTAGTTTGCGAACGTCGGAAGCAGCCAAGTGAATCGGAAAATTAGACTAAAGAAGTTTGTCTGGTTCGCACCCTACTTCTGATATACTGTCATCATTGAATATGTCTAGCGAGCTGCTATAACCCATCATTTACAGGGAAGGGATTTAGTAACGCCTTTTGCCGGCATAATGCCGCATATTTCTCTGTGAATCATTCCAAGGCTACCCAGACCATAGTAGGGTTTTTTCTTTAGAAACCTAAACCAACGCATCTAAATCAGTTGTTTGACCCACAGGTTGTTGGGTCTTGAACCCGGCATGGAAGCCTGATCAAAGAACCCGTATGGAGGCTTCCCATAGTCTGTTATGTGAACCCTGTTTGCTATTTCTCTCCTGCTCGGTTGAGCTCCAGTTAGCGATTCGCTCTTCAAATTCAGTCCTTGGTCCCATACATATAGTGGAGTAAGCCAAATGTGAACGATGATGCACCCTTTGGGCTGGGGACTGCTCAGCTTATACGGGCAATAGCTGCCCAATGAAGTGTGAGGACTTCTTCCACTTTCGAGAAAACACCGCGTGATCCATTTCTTCGTTCATCTAGTAAGGTATTCCGACTAAAAAAATGCTTCTCCCCGTGTTTATTCTCTCGAGTATCCTCTTTAGGATCACAGAAGTTGATCGCATAGAAACAGAAGTTGTCTACTAACTATGTCAGCGAGACTGGACTTCTTCTGGCCCCTACCCGTCGACTTATTGAGAGTGATTGAAACTGCTGCTTAGAAGAGACAACCCCGGCGTCATCCTTTGGGTCATCAAAGCACGCAAGACTTTACACTAAGCGATCTTCGTGATGAGTTCTAACAAGCCAGGTGAAACAAATGTACCGTGCTTCCTTAGTTTTCGACTTTTAGTTGGGAGTTTATACAATGTGATGAATTTTCGATATAAACTTAACCTCTTCTCTCACCGTGAGATAAAAATAGAAGTATAGAACTTAATAAAATTTGAACATATTACTTCGTGTTTCACTCACATGTGGCCAATGGTCACTTTGTGGTTAACGTAAATGCGAGAGAGGAAACATCCAAATAAAGTCCATTTACTCCTCTTCCAAATATGTTAGAAGCACAGCCTATATAGTTTGCACGCACTTGATTATTTTTATGCAGTTAGCCAGTTATGTGAGCGCATTAACAGCGAAACTGGACCGTAAATTGGATTTGGTGATTGGAACCGTAGATACCTCGCTGGACGCCCTATTCAGTTCAGTCCGTATGCGGGAGACCAACGTGGGCAACCTGATTTGCGACATTATTTTGACCGGTGTGAATGCAGACGCAGTCATGCTGAATTCAGGTACTTTGCGGGCCGATCGAATCATTCCGTCTGGAGAATTCACACTTCGTGATTTGACCAACTTATTGCCATTACTTGATCCATTGGTTGTACTCCAATCTAGTGGAGCACAAATTCTGGCCGCTTTGGAAAATGGAGTATCGCAGTACCCAAAACTGGAAGGTTAGTTTTTGAAATAAGTCTTCCCATGTGATCATTCAATCATTTAGCGCAGCGCCGTTGAGTCTTCAACTCGTCAAAAAAATTCTAAAATTTAAAAAAAAAAAAACTTGGGAATTTGTTCGGGAGAAAAGCGAGCAAAGTAGCAGAAAAATTCTTCGTACAGGTTCATTCTTAGGCATAAAAATCCCGATTTACAGCAAGAATGTATCAAGAAGGAGGACAAATTATTGAAAATGAGTACACAATATTATTATGTCGAGGTGAATAATGGAGCCGGTTTTTTAATCAACTATAAGATGCCGACCGGAATTGTTATGAGCACCTATAATTATGGTAATTCACAGCATAATTACTGATGCTGAACGCGAACAAAATAAAAAATGATTGCCGGTCGGCACAAAATTCATGTTATTTTAAATAAATTTGCTACAGTTTTGAGTCATTCATGAAGCCAACCTCATTCCTTACAACAAGTTAACTGAATCCACGGCAAAACGTTTGTTAATGATCAATAAATTCTTGAAGAAAATACAAAGCCTCTGGAAAATCGCTGTCCGAATTTGAGACTACTCACTCATTATTTTATTAAGCGGTTGCAATTAAATACCAAAAAATGAGGACTGTCAAAATCTATTACATTCACACCATATTTATTGACTTTATTTAACAAAATCTTGTTTCGTTATTTCAGGACGTTTCCCCCTGGTTGCGGGAGTCCGCTTCTCATTCGACCCCAGTAAACCGTTCGGGCAACGAATTGACGGGACCACAGTTTCTATTCAGGGCCAGCCGCTTGAATTAGACAAATCGTACCGATTGTGTGTGAAACATTACATGGCTGAAGGAAAAGATGGGTACGATGTACTTCGGGATTGCCCTGTCCTACTGGATGATGAAAACGGACCCATTTTAAGTACGCTGATACAAAACTACTTTCGCACGGTTCAGGTGAGTCCCGCAACGCGTTTATATTCTTCTACCGGTGGATTACGTCAACTTGAGTGTTTTCCTAAGTGAAATATGCAAGATGGATAGATTTCTTTCGACGGAATTTTCATTCGTGTTAACTGTCTTAATTACCATTTTCCTATTGTGCGAAATCAGTAGTTATAGATTGCAAATGAACTCACTATACCGTCATTTTATTGAAATTTGTGAGCTGCTGCAAGTGTGAAAGTATCTTCTAAGTGTTCAATAGTTGTGGAGACCGATCTGGATTTTCAAGGGGTATTCTTCGGATGGTCTCAGGTGCCATATATGGTGCGATTACCATACTAAATAACCTAGTTAACTTATAGAATATATATATATATATATATATATATATATATATATATATATATATATATATATATATAATCACGGTTTATAATTGTTCTGTGAGCAATTTTCCAATACCAGCAGTTATTTTTCAGATTTTACCTACGTGTGAGTACCCAGGGAGGTTATTGAAACACATAGCTGCAAGAACTTACTGAAATCGGATGTTTAGTTGACAATGTAAAATCGTGAAACATAGAGGTGTTGTAGAAAGTTATGAGTTGCAAGTTATCTTTTTCTCAATAAATTTCTCTGTCCATATAGTATGTCAAAGCTAGAGCGGAAATACACAATTTCACGTAGCTTGTGCTTGTTTTTATTATTTCTGTGGTCATCTGTGGGCAGTTACTGCTGAGTAACCTCACCTACCGCTATAGATTTCCCTGAAGCTCGAGAGCCAAAAAATACTAAAATTTCTAATGCGACTGGTTTTTAAAAGTATCACGGCAACATTAATGATTGATGGTCTTATCCACCGATGAATAGACAATGATCCTTCCAAAATTAATTCCTTTTACCGAATCACTGAAAGTGTGTGCTTTATAGAGAAGACCAATAAAGACCCAGAAAACAAATTTGGAGTATAACTTATTATCTCACGGTTCATCGGTAAGCTCACGGTTGATGGTAGGCTCAAGGAACAAGACAAGTTTTATTATTTTCAATGGAGAACCATCAAACCAAGACCGTATAAACGTGGTCCGGTATATATTCTTATCGGTTTCTTGATGATAGAGAAACTTTTACGCAAAACAACGAAATTCCACGGCTTCTTCGATAGCCTTCTGCAAGCCCATCAGGCTAAAGAGTCCGTGACAGAATTTTCGTAGAACAACTTCACAAACGAAGGTGCCTTCCACGAATTAGCAATGTATAACATGATATCCAGTCATAAGGTGATGTGATAAATACCTACACCTCCGACTTGTGTTATGGCATCATCCGCATAGTCCTAAAGAAGAATATTCACAGAGTGTAACCTGTAATCTGCAAAATGATTTTCCAGTAAATTCCCGCGGGTCATTGCAAAGAAGGATGAAGTGAAGTAAGTCGCGTTTGTCTTTGAACAATCTAGGGTCAGAATTGAAGACACAACCGTACTGCTCACTATGAGGTTGGGTGTTGACTCCTCTTTGATAGACAGCCAAGTCATGATGGCAGTCAGCACTGGTGCTGTACCAAGTCCCGGACTTGAGACAATGGAATCTAGGGTGACAGGACAGTCATTTGGTGGCATGGATCGATTGAGTGACCGATGTATCCTATCAGTGGTGTTAAAGCCTCAGGGACTAGTAACACAGACCATTCGGACTAATACCCTGTGTGTAACGACTGAGTACATGGACTAGCATCCCATTATATTTTGTAAACACACAAAAAGATGATTTGAAGACGGAAAGGATTTCTCACTGGAATTAGTGGGACAACTTAGAAAAACAGTCACGCACTAGAATTTTGATTGTATTGAAATCCAATAGTTTTCGCTATTGAGTGAGCCCTATAGGGTTAAAAAGAACGGGACTGGTTCACTGTGAATACAGCAAAGTTTATGTTATTCGAAGGTGGTCAGTAATTTCTCAGTTACAAGACTATAACGGTAAGGGAGATCATCTTCTCTGTTACTTGATCAGTCAGTCGCGTGGGCAGCATACTAAAAACTCTCATAAGTTTTCGATCCCTGAGTTTCGAGTTTAAGTCGCGTGTTTCACCACCAGTCAAAGAATCATCATCAGCACTCACTGATCATGATACGTTCTATCAAGGGAATAATTTCTAGGCAGATGGACACATTTCCAGACGTCGACCCTGTCTCAAACATTATTTCTAGCCAGAAAGAATTTGTTTCTAGTACATGACAACTTTGATTGTGATATAGTTTAGAAACACACTACTATCATAGATTTCTGGGTAGACATAGGTTTATATCTTACCCTAGATCCGGTTCATTAATCATAAGCTTCAAGGGTGTTAATCAGCTCAGCATTTCTTAGTGCGTCAGACAGATGTGAGACACTGGATCCACAATTTGAGAGAAACCATGCCGTAAAAACTGTAAAATATAGCACCCCTTCGTCAGATAGAGTGATTCTCATAAATATATTCATCTGGATTTTTCACGTGCCACTTACATTCTATAATACAAATGGAGATCACAGATTCAGGCATTCTGTTCTTCAAACTGTTCCTTTCTTACAAGGGTCTTAGAGACTGAGTACTTCTAATGCCGTCAGTTGAACGGCAGCTGAGTGCTTTCTGTACGACATTGTTGCGATCTACTATCTCTGTTTTGTTCGCAATTTGCATGGTCTGAGGAACCAACTCTATGAAAAAATCAGTTTGATGTAACTATAAATTACGCTTTCATCAAGACCGATGCATTCTTTCTGTCCTTGCAATGTTACACGAACGAAGGTGATGTCTAATTCGAACGAACCATTGATACGCGGGTCTTCACATTTTTCTTCTTCTGATTTTGTTTTTGTGTGGTCATCAATATGCAAATGACACCAGATGTTGTTCTGTCCACTTGGCGCATGTTGCTGCGCATGTTGCAAGTGAAATAAACCTGTACAAAAGTGACAAACAAATTGCACTCAGTTCGTTCCTCTAACCAGTTTTGGGCACAGCTGGTCAAAATATTGTCCCAAGTGTTACGAAATGGATTGAAGTGTACAACACTGGCATTTTGGTAAATAAATTCAGGTTGCTAATACTTTGGCCACTACGAACACTGTAAGTTATCTTTTCTTTCTGAACTTCATCCTCAGTGAGATCAAGGTCAAGATACAGGAAATCTATTAGCTGGAATGAGGGAAGCAGGTAAGTTTTGGTCTCGAGAACATAAACAGCGAGGTACTGGAGTCAATTTTGATCTTAGCTGAGTGCTTCTGGCCAACCTCTTTGCTTCATTAAACAGAGAGGGACAGGAAAGGTTTGCACTCATTGGTTTCGGGTACCGGACTGTAAGAAGATCTATGAGCAAAACTAATCGTTTCATCCGGCACCATTTACCAGTGATTAATCCCCATTGCCGCAACCGAGGACCTTGTTAACCAGTCCGACGACACTGTCAGTTATTTCGTGGTTTCCACCAACAAGAATGCCGAGAATCGCATCGAAAAAACTTTTCGTCGTTCCGGTGACAGGTTATACTTTTGCTCATTTGGATACACAACATCGTGTTAACAGATGTTAGCTCATTCATTGTAGATAGGTAATTTGTTCAGATCCGGAGAAAAGTGTGGTTGTGCAGAGAGAAGTATGCTTTGGAAGCCCGCAGAATCTCGTAGGTTTGGAGCGAAACATCGCAAAATAATCGAATTGTCAGTTTATTGCATGCATTGGAAAAACCATCCAGGAATCTACGTCACGTCAAGGTGACTCAAATAACTTCAGTTTCGATGAGATTCATCGATATTCCAGAAGTAGTTGAAAGTTTCACCAGTTTTGCTAGCTGAGCTTGGTGTTAAGGTGGCAATCTTTTCGCCACAATTCGACGAAGATTCACTAGTGTGCAGCTGACTGTCCCTGTATGTGTCTGTGTTTTTAGGATTCTCGTTCTACATCTCACAGTTTTCCTTGCGGGTATTCGTAGAATGACCCACTTTGGATTTCAGAAGAGAAACAGGTCAAATAGCACACTAGAACAGAAGGATAGTACTGTAGCTTATAAAAATATCGATAATGATAGCATGACACCCCTGACCCCAAAGCAGCACAGGTACACACAAGCCTACTGTTACAGTATCAGGATTTAGCTAAAACCCGTCATTCACTAACCACGACCCACCATTCTTCAGTCAGGACCCGTTGTCCTTTAGCCTTGACACACAATCTTCAACCAAGCCACTGCAAGCCAGTCAGATCGAAAGTGTCGGAATACGAGGACATCAAGACATGGTGGAATAACTTGTTTTTTTTTTACAAAGACTTGTTGCACTTTCAATGATAGCTATAGTGCTGAACGTTGCAACACAAATAAACTGGTGTCAAAGATGGGGTTATTTACTTCAACTGTGTGTATCTTCCTTGGACTGTCAAAGCCCACATACACGATCCTACAAGGAACCCAAGTATTTATTTTTTCATTACATCAAGTTTTAATTTTTATCAGCGGTTTCAAATGCATAACTGAGTACCGTTTGTTGCACGACTGATTTTTACCTACTGCATTGCTTGTTTGTGAAAGTTTACCCTTGGCGGGGAGAATCTTTGTCGATTGAGAGATAAGTCTTTCGAAGACAATCGGGCTATATATAACAACACCACGGCGTGCTACTGATCGAGAAGTAGCATTCACTCCTGGATCTTACGAGATTAAGTTCATTGAAAAGTTTGTCGGCCATTTGTGTAACATGGTGGACGAACACCCAACAAGCGAATTGGCACAGTTGAAGGACTGGAGGGAGAAAGGATTTGATTACATTTTTCGTCTGGATTATTTTAGTGCTCCAGGAAATGGTTCATTGAAACTACAGTGGTCATACGGGCTCGACCACATAGTTCGAAAATACGGGTGCAGCATTTGGTACCGTTAACACGGTGAACTGCACAGACTATGGCCGTCACACTTTCTCACTTGTTCAGCCAGCATTGCAACAACGATCTTTGTAAAAACAAATTGTCTC